GCTGTAGCTGTCCAAAAGTCACTCTAGAACATGCATCGTGGGAAGAAGAAACTACTGTCCTGATCCTTGTGATAAAGTCACAAGAACTAAGACTGCTGTATGTCACACTGCTTTAGAAAAGGGAGTATTCCATTCCCGAGTGCTATGCTATATGCCAAAAGAATTACTCTGGTCTAATAACCCCACCAAAACATTCATTAACACTACTCACATTTTCTAAAAAATAGAGATTTCATACAAATTACTGAAAACGATCAAAGATTGTCCTGACCAAAAGTTACAACCCATGCTTGGAAGAACACACGAGAAATACTTTAATAGCCATAACAGAAATGACCACTCAAGCCAGGAAAAGCTCTTCTAAAAGCTATAATCTCTCATCATAGCAAGGAAGTACATTCAAATGATACCTTAAATAGAGCTGCTATTCCTAGTAGCCACTCAAACAGGACAGCCACACTTTTGGGTTATCACAAGGCAGATGAAAGAGTTTTTTTTTCATGTGCAATTGCCAAGAAGCCTTAACTGAAGAGAACTTGTTAAGCCCAATTATTCTGACTATAACCTAGTTTGCCTAACATAAGTTGATTCAGTAGTGATTCTCCACAGCTTCCATGTACTCTTTTTTTTCCCAATATGCTAGATATCTTGTTTTCTCCTTTCCTTGAGTTGCTTTCTACACTATACTGTCTGGTTAGTCCTTCAAATGTTCTTTACTGATTTGACCACCCAGCAGATACTCTGTCTATGCCAAGGAACCTTCTCATTCATGATCCTGCAGGATCTGAGAGCTTTTATAGTCAGCTAAGAGCCGTCATTTCACAATGGCTTTAAATAGATCAAAGTGAAAGCTATTGGCAAAATGTGTGGTCATGCTCTTTTTGGTTGATTGCCGCAGCGCTTGAGCAAATATGAGTGGGCGGTGAAATGAATGAAAGATTTGATATGGTGTTGCTGAAAATGTAACACTTTTAGTTGGTTTGGTTTTTTTAACCCAGATTAATTCTCAATTGCAACCGACTGCATGGCTGTGCAAGCTCTATTGGTCAGCCTGTTTCAAAGCGTAGGAACGGGGAGCCAGGCAGGTGGGCATTTTAAATCAACTTGAGATAGATACGAAACAACAGCTTAAGGAAACTAGTTTTATTTCCACTTCATGGCCATGTTAGGTTTTACGGACTCCCACTAATACGGAGGGAGGAAGGCATGTGTCAGAGTGTAACAGAATTTGGAAGATCTGGATGTGTCTGAGGCAGCAAGGTAGGGCCATTCGGTAGGTTCTGATGGTAAATCTAATTTATGACTTTCTTTTGCTGTGAGACTTCCAGGGTAAAGTTTTAGCACAACAGCATAAAAAATGTCTAGTCTGTCACGTCTCTCAGGGTAACATGGCTCATTGCAGGTATCATCTTCCTCATCACTCTGTTAGCAGGAGTACCCTGGGTTGTTAAGTTACACTTTGAGGTAGTCATCCACTAACAGAAGCGGCTCTTCCACAGAGCAAATCTGTGAGTAGGGCACACAACCTCCCAGCACCCGAAGACAAAAAGAAATATATGTGTGTGACTCTACTTGGCAGTAGGGATGATTTTATTTGAAGAACATTACACTCAGGGAGCAGGACGTCAAAGTGCTGTTTGTACATACAGATTATAAGAGCATTTTTGCAAGAAAGATCATGTGTTGTAAGATTTCATGTAGATTAACTTTTGATTGCAAAGCTAGAGATCATTCTTTCTGTCAGACTCATTTATGTGTGCGACAGAGACAACATACTTAGGAACTCCTCCTTAGGAAAACAAAGTAAATGTAATTAAAGAAAAAACAAACACACTTAGAATACTTGTCTGAGGTACTAGACAACCACCTTTTTTTTTAAGACCACCACCAACGCGTCTGTGTTTCATAAACCTCGGGGACCTTCCAGCTCCGTGCTTGACCGTGCTCAGTACTGACTCAGAAGAATGTCACCCAGTGAATCTCTAACGTGATTCCAGATGCATGTGATTCCAGGGCTCTCTGCTTCTACCTGGAGCACTCGTGCAAAGCAAAAATCTGCTTTGTTCAGAACGGGGCAGTTAATACACAGAAATGTAAGTGCTCAGTGGGATAGTAAGACGAAACCGGACGCAGCTCAGCAAAGCGCCGAGGTTTGAAAGAAAGAGTCTTCAGAGCAGGTGCCGTGGGAACACCTACACGTTTACTTCTCACGCCCTAACGTTGCTGGGAGAGCGGAGATGCCGGGGGGACGGCTGCAGTGGCAGCGTTCCTGAGTGACCCGCGCGCTCTCCCCGGAGCTGGGAGCCCTGTTTTCGTGCTCCGGGAGGGCGTTAGCGCGGACTGGGCAGGCACGGAGCTCCCAGCGCCCCAGCCCCACCGCAGGTGGCGGCGCAGGAAGGGGCGCCGCGCCCCTCAGCCCGCCCCACCCCGCCCCGCCCCCTCCCGTCCCGGCCGTTGGCGGCGCAGCCAATCAGCGCGCGCCCGCCGCACGTGCCGTTACGGCCGCGCGGGTGCCGGCCGTTACGCGCCGTTAGGCGCCGCTTTGTAAATGCATAAATAAACAGCGGGGTGAAAGCGCCGGCTCGTTAGTTCTGAGGGGTTTCGAGTTTGGCGCGAGTGCCGCGCTTGCCTCCTCCGCGGAGGCGGCGCGGGGCGGGCGTGCCGGGGCGGGCGCCGCGCCGCAGTACCTGGTAAAGCCGGCGGCTTCAGAGAAGCGCGCGCCGGAGCGCGGCACTTCCTCCCGCCGATAACATCTGCGCCCGCGCTCGTCACGGGCGGCTGCTCGGCGCCGCAGGCTCCTCCCGCGGAGCGGCGCGGAGCGGCGAGGCGGCGGCAGCAGCAGCAGCAGCAGCAGGCGATGCGCGGCCCCGCGCCGCGCTGCCCCGCGCCGCCGCCCCATGTAGCCCCCCGCGCCGCGGCCCTGCGGCCGAGCTGCGCCCGCCGCCGCCATGGGAACGCCGGGCAGAAGGAAGGAGAAGCAGTGAGTTGGCGCGGCCGGCTCGCCCTGCCGCGGGCAGCGGCTCGCGGCAGCGGGCGGCAGTCGGCTCGGCGTGCGGCGGGGAAGCAGCAGGAGGGAGGTCTCGCTTCGCCCCCGCAGCGGGCGCCGAGCGGCCGTGGGGGGTCGTGCCCAGGGGCTGCGCAGGGCCGGGGTGGCGGAGCGGGCCGGGGCCGGCCCTTCCCGTCCCGGCTGCCGCCCTGCGCCGCCCCGCCCGTGTACTGACCGCTGCCTCTGCCCTGCCGCGAGCCGAGCGGCTGCTGCCCGCGCTTCTGCTCCAAGGAATGATTAGTTTCTAACGTGTCGCTGCCGGAGTTTTCCCCATCCGGTGTTGCCAAGTCGGCCACTGTGACATTTTAAACTTTTTTTTTTTTTTTTTCCCTTTCAGGGTGTGGGCAGCTTTACTTTTGTGCTCTGTTCCTTGCTGGCTCTGTTGTTGCCAACACCTTAAAATAGCTGCTGTGACTGCCGCTCGGCCGCCCTTGGGGGGCCGGGATCCTGCGCCCGCGGGAGCGGCGCCGAGAGGGGCTCGGGCTCGTGGCTGAGCTCGCAAAGGGCTTGGGCCCCTCTGTCTGAGAACAGGAAGTCAGCGCTCGAAGCTGAGAGGGAAACGCAGAGAAAGGGCAGAGCAAAGCGGTTCAGGGGCCCCTGCCACATCAGGGCGCGACGATGCGGGGTGGTCGGTCCCTCCGCAGGGTCCCGCCTCACTTCCCTGGCTCCCAGTGGAGGGAGCGGGCGCAGCGTGTCACGAGCCGCGTCGTGGCTTTCTCGGCACCCAAATGAAGTAGAAATTTCGGACGAGGCTTGAAACTCGTTGGGATGAGGTAGGGTCGAGGCTGGCTCCGTTGGGTGCATTTCTACCCCCCTCCCACGCATGCTGGGACATTGGTGGTGTTACCTCGTCTATCCCAGTTACAAATTGGATGAATTCCTAAGCACTTTCCTCACAGGGCTGTTAGTTATTAATGATGTCTGGCATAGTCTTCTGTCAAACAAAAGCTGGACGGAGGTTTGTATATCCGCACCTGGCATGTCTAAACAAAAGTAGTTCCCTTGGGAATTTATAAGAAAAGGAATTACGTTTAAAGGAGCGTTATACTTTACCTTCATGTAAATTTATATTTCCAGCAACTTCAGCTACAGGTGATTTCAGTTTATCTCATTCATTATCTATTTATTTTTCGTGAGTATCTCTCTTTAAAGATGCTGGAGTAACTTACAAGAAGATCATGGACTGTAAATTGTCTCTGAAATAGCTCCCAATTTTACTGAAAGGTCTTGTGTGAACTATGTGATTTTGCTTTGAAGTAAGATTTTTTTTTGAAGTGATTATGTGCAGGTGAAAATACACAGGTGAAAGCTCTTCACACTTATGACACTATGTACTTACAATTTTATGTAGTATAGATACACATTACAGTTTATCTACAATGTTTATATTTTTAAGCTGTGAAATATTTCACTATAATGTTGAACTGATATTTTGGCTTCTTACCTACATTTGGAAATTTGCTATTATTAAAGTTAGTCGGTCTTTTTTTCCACTTGTGCAACACTTGATTATAGTTACGCATTTCTTCTATACTTTGGTGTGGGCAAAAAAAAAAAATGCGTGGTGGTAGATTACTGCATGACAATATTCCAGTGTTACTTGTCCTACATACACAATCTGAGGGCGTTTATACTTGTGCAGAAATCTTAATTTAAGCATAGCTCCCAAGCAAGGAAACAATACTTTTGATAATATGACAAGTCATTCAAAGAGCTCTGTAACTAATCCACGTTTAGCAGGGAAAGTGTCATTTACTGAGCAGTGTCTTTGGTGCAGTTATTAAGTAGGAGGGTTACGTCTTTTACCAGCCTAGCTACGGGGAGCTAATTGTCTTTTAAATTTCGCTTCCTTTTCCATGCAGTGAAAATCTGCTGCTTGCTTTTCACCTGCTTCTGTGCCCTGCTCCCTTTGCAGGCAGCCTGCCCAAGGATGCAGCCCTGGCCCTGAAGCAGCGCTCGAGCTGAAGCACCTTGGTCACTGCTCCAGCCTTTCCAGCCTTGCCCAGGTCACCATGGTGCCGCTGGGACACTTAGCCAAGGGGGCCACTTTGGAAGATCTTCTTGAAACCTGCATTCAGTCTTTTGGTGAGTTTCTGGGAGCTCTTAGAATGATGCTGTGTGTGTGTGACTCTGTTCTCGCTACATTTTGATTACTAGTGGAAGATAAAGTCTCAGTTGAGGATTATATAGATGGCTGTGCATATTTATGGGGAATGTAGATCTGTTCACCTATGTGATGCTGCTCTGTTTTTGAGAGTAAAACATAACTCAATCATCTCTCTTTGTTGTTGCTACTGAATTTGCAAGCTTTAACTTTAAAATCATTATGTGTTTTCCATTTCATAGTGGTATTCTCAGATCATGTGTTTTAATGATGTTTGTTACTCATTTTGAAATAAGTACAGCTACTTTCAGGCTAGGTGAAATAATATTGGTTTCCTTTTGCTTTACCAGTATAGATTTAAGATTGTCTTGCTGTTAAAAAGAAAAATAATCCAAATAAAATTCACAATTGTGTGTTTTTTTAATGAGCTTAGCAGTTACTCATCTTCTACTAGAACTGCAATATATTGACAAATGTGATTATTGCCTGTAACTGACTTTTTTTTGGCAATGATGCTTTAATTAGTAACTTTATGTATATTTATCTTGTTAAAGTGTACTAGAACTGAAGGGCTTCAAGGAGTGGGTAAAGCATTGAAAAAGGGTTCTGAACTTATTGCAAAGAAAATATCCCCTAAGCTATTATAAAACCCTGATTCTTAATTTGCTTAATATGCTTAGAAGTTTTGGCTCACTGTGAGTGAGGTGACATCTAAATATATGTAAGACCTTATATAAGGTTTTAGTAGTATGGCTAGCTGACAATATTAATTTGTATCTGTATTTTTATGCAACAAAAGAGTTATAAATGTAACTTTATAAAAAGCTAGTAAATGATTGTGGTCAGTGACCTTCTGAATGGAGGTTTTATTGGCTTAATTTTATTCTAACACTTTTTAAAGATTAAACTGCATGGATCTGGCTGGGTTCTCAGATTCATGGGAGTTCAAAGCTTATAAGGACTGAGGTGATGAAGAAAAGCAGTTGCATGTGTCCAGTTCAGCTATATGTGCATGTGAAACTTTCTAGTAAGATTGATATTTCAATTGGAAAATTTACCCTAATGCAGTGCTGTTAAGTGGTACTTAAATCTGGCAAGTGGGTTGCAGTGCATCTGCAGGCATCATCTCAAGGTTATGACCATTTGCTTGAATTATGATTTATACTGTAGGAATGTTGTCTCTCACTGGGGATTCAGTGTTGTCTGTATGTAGGCATCTTCTGTGGCATTGTGCACACTCTTAAAATATTCTGGAATTTCCCAGTAGAGTATTTAAATGAATTGCAGCTTTGAGCTGGTACACCCAGGTAACCTACTTAAAGTTGTTTAAAGAAGATTCTTGTGATGACCAACAAAGGCATTTTGCAAAATACATTCATTTTATCATGCAAGTAAAGGAAGAAGTGGAAAACAACCTGGGAGTTCTTTGGATGGTAAGGGGAAGGAGCGGAAACCTCAGTAAGCTGAATGATTAAGCAAGCTGTTTTCTTCTTTGATTGGCAGTGAAGTGGAGCTGTTATCTTCTCTAATAGTTCTGTTCAGATTGAGATTGTCTCTTCAGGTGTTAAGAACATTGGCTTGTATTCTTTTGTGTAATATTCTAGAAGGCCTTTTGGTGATCTGAGCAAGTTTTACTTCAATATTAAAAATGCAGGAACCCCACAAAATTGTGCTGCTTGTTATTTTTTAATTTCTGAAAAAAGCCCTTGATTTATTTGCTGTCTAGTGCTAAGAAAAACAATAAGCAGTCGATGCAGATTGATGCCTCACACTGCAGAATATATACTTTACACTGCGTCATATTAATATTACGGTGCACTTACTAATATTTGCACAGTTATGAATACTTTTTATTGCTATACAAAGAATACAGCTAAATTCTTTTGCATGTTTGTTTTACATGTTTACATTATATATGACTGGAGAAAACAAATGGTGTGTAAGAAAGACTGACAGTGGCAGCAGTGCGGAAGGGTAAGTGGGCAGTCTCTGGCCACATGTGAAGGGTATAATGAGGAAGGTCTTGGAATCAACACAAACTTGCAAATGTGAAGAACATAAATAAGTGCAAGTAGAAAGGGGTTGTATAAAGAGGGGAGAAAAAAGAAAGGTGAAGTGGTGAGAAAGTTAAGCTTACCACAATGATGTGAGTGGATTCCAGGATATGTAGAAAGAGAGCCTCTGCTAAGGTTGCTGAAGTAATGCAAATTGTGGATTTTAAGTGCTAGTGTGAAAATCTGTGGATTTGCAACAGTGCTAGGTAGAAGATGCCTTTGGAATGTGGACAGAGTAGCTTGAATTACAGAGATGCTGTTGTACCTGCTGGTATTCAAAGTAAGCAAGTACTGAGGCTCCACTTTTCTTGGAGTTGAGTGGGAGGAGTTGTTTTCCTTAGGGAAAACCAAAAGCTCCTATGGTGTGGTTAACTTAGACACCTACTTTAGGTTGATTGGTGTGTGCTCTTCCACCTCTTGGTTTTCTTAAGCTTAAGCGGATGAATGATAGGGATCCTTCCTCTTGATAGCCATCACCAGAATTAGAGGGTACCCATTAAAAAGCCAGAATAAAGACAGCATAGTGGGAGATAGTGTAAGGTCATGTGAGGCATATTTGAGATAAGTGTTACACCAGTGCTTATTCAACAGTATGATTTATTAACAAAGATAGGAGGTACCCAAAGTAGAGGTTTCTTAAACTCCCAGGAAGGGTTGCGTTTAGATGAGAAAGGTGAATCATCCTGCAAATGAAATGCTAAAAGCAAAGATAACAGAGAAATCAAGAAAGCAGCTAGGATAACTTTTCAGGAGAAAGGGTTTGATTTGTGCTTGATGACAGGAAATGTATTGGAAAGGAATATTGCTACTGAAATTAGTCCAGGAGAAGATCTTTGGAGACTTTGGAACAGTTTTCTGCAGTGTGTCAGAGAGGAGATACTATCCTACAGGGCAGTGATTCACAGCACAGCAGTTCTGTGTGGCTTGTAAGATGTTTTAACATTGCAAGTACCCATAGGATGCTGCTACTGCTGTGGTCGGGATGGACAAGGAGACCCGTAAAGAACAGAGACCGCACATTTGATCCCCCTAGAAAGGAAAGACAAGTGTGACACATAAGTGGACCTCATGATGACTTTTTAAAGATGAAAATATGATTGTATGGAAAGAGAAGTTTGTAATAGAGCAGGGGAGAAAAAGAGAAGTCAAAAGGGGGGAAGAGAGTGCATGGGGAGGAAGATCATGCAGTAGGGTCCTCAGGTGATTGGAAAGACTAGAGAGTGCCAAGAGTACAGAAGGATTAGATCCAGTGAAACCTCTCCACTGGAGAGGCTAAATTCTGAGCAGAAAGGGTATTTAAGTATAGCAGCTACTTCAGAACACCCCTGCACATCCATGAAGAACATGAAATTGGTGCAAAAGAATGCATTTTTATATTGCCCTAAGAGCCAATACAGCTTGTTCCTTTTGTTGTTGCTACTTGTGAAGATACTTGCTCTGTCAGCTTTGTTGTTGAAACCAAAGCCAGAATAAGGTCTAGCTTGCTGTTCCACAGCCAAAGTGACTATTTAATGCTGACGGTTCAACAAAACACAGGAAGCACATGTGCAGAAGGGCTCTGCTTTTTGCTAGCTCTTAAAGTCATCTCTTGGTGAGTCTGTGTAAATGCATATTAAAGTACCTTTAGTCCAAGAAGTGTTATAGATCAGATGGCAGAAATATTTCAGCAATGTTTACCTCACTGTATAATTATATCTTGTTTACTGCATGGCCTAAATATGGAAATGAAAGTAGTTCATAACACTTTACTCAAGGCTATTCTCAAGCTGCTGTGAGCTTATCATTTTGCCTACACATTAGATGTCCTGTTTCCATTCCGGCAATTTCTTTTTTCCTGTTTCTATTCACAGTGTGTTTGTGCAAATGTACATGCATAAGTACATTAGATGGCAAGAGGTCCTGTTTCTTTCCTTTGTGTCTATCTTGCCCTTTAAGAATACCATTAAGTTTATCTTGATTAAGACTAAAATGTCTGTCTGTTTAAAGGACTGTAATAAATACACCTCTACACTGCTACTCAATTAGTTTAATATGCATTAAACCTGCTTCATAGAGTAAGCTTATTTATTGTAGCATTTAGGACTGCACTTACCCTACAATTCAAGCATTTCGACTACTAATTTCTACTATTAGACCAGACAAGTAAACGTGGGGAGGCAGATGGTTAACAGCTGAAGTAAACTCCAAAGAGAAAGGAAGTCAGGAGGCATCTTCAAATGCAGACTCGCTGCGCCACGCATGCCCTCAACACGCTCGGAGTCAAAGGCTTTAGCAAAAGAGAGGAGCCGTTTCTCACAGTACGTGTGTTAATGTTCATATCCGTTCCTTGCAGCGCGGTGCTATGTGTAACTGTAGTGTAGTCATTGGTTTATACTTCTTTGTCCCTCTTCAATAGAAAACAATGTCTTTAAAATAAGCTTTACCCCTGTGGCTGCTCTTTTCAAAATATTTTAAAGCAATAACCTCATGGATTAGCAATTTTCTTAACAGAGTTTGTTTGTAATGCTCTTTTCAAGTTTCTAAGGGTCAAAGTAGCCTTATCTTATGAGGTAAATGGTTCTGCAGTGTCTAGTCGTGTTTGAGAACAAGCCTTAGAAATTCTGGAAATTGCTTTAGGATTTAGTGGAGTGAAATACTCCATGTGATTGTTGAGACAGATGAGAAAAGTTACTGGTATAGATGCTAACTACCTAAAGCTAAGCCATTAATCAGAGTTGATGTTGTTGATCCCTTCCCCCCAAAAACAAAGCATTAGAGCTCTCTAGTTCTGTGTACTGGTGATATATCTGTCAATCATTTTTCATTAATGTCATACAAAAATACACCGAGTCTTAAGACTTCTTTGAGAGTCAGGTAACAATTGTATCTATTTTACCAAAAAAAAAAAAAAAATCATGCAAGTTGGAGAGCTCTCACAGGAGCATTTT